TGTTTTCTGCAGCTACTGACCTGGGCAAAAAGAGCAGCTTCGGATTTTCTGATCACTAGTGCAGGACCCGAGAGCACGTGCTGACGCCTTCTGAGACCCTCCCTCCTCTGGACCGTCCAGTGGTTTATACGCACTAATTCCCTGTATTAACTCCCACTCTGCTTGCAATTCCTAGAGGGTTCTGTTTCCTTGGCTGAGTCCTCTGATGCACTGGAAATTCCTCTAGTCACTTACCCCCTGTTTAGGAGATATCATGGCCCCATCCTATATGGAACTATGACGGGACGAATATTCTCTGTCTTGAAGTTCCATGTCCTAGAAGTTGGCAGACAATAAGCCATAGTGACCCCATCCCATAATGTGCGACTTCCCACTGCAGCTCAGCTGGTGTCAAAACAGACGAGGTAGTGCTCTGCTCCATCTCATGGACCAACCTCTGGGAAATACCACTTATTTATTAACTTTATTTTAGGAGGCATGAAGTTGTAGCTTCAATCTTGTCTGTGATATTTGTAAATATAAACTAAGGAGGTCCACGAGGTACACTCCCTATCTGTTAAATTTTACACTGAGATCTTCTGCATCTGTGAAGAGGATACACTAATGCCCTTGCATTAAAACACGTTATGTACCCACACTGCAGCACACAGTAGGAGCTCCTACCACTTGCTCAGAACTGAAAACTGCTGGCAGAGATGTGAGAACATCCAGTGGATCTGGGGCTCAAATGCTCAGGAGCACTCTGCCTGAGCTCTGCAGGGCAGACAGGGGGTTAGGAAAGAACTAGAAGCATCCTTGGGGCTTGGCTAAGGCTGTGAGAGAACCCCACCCCCTCTCCTCATTACATCCTCAGCTGGCACAGGAAGGTTTGGGTACAGAAAGACACTAAGTCTGCAGGGCTGTGCCCGAGATGCTGGCACAGAGATACGAGGCTGAGTCCTTCAGCTCCAAGGAGCTCATGTTGAGCTCAGAGTGGTAGTCACTGAACTGCTGAGCTGAGAATCGACTAGGGAAGTTTCCTTTTTCATTCTGCTTCTTTTCATAATACGAAATGAGGAACTGGAGGCCCTGACCCAGAGCCTGCTGGTACCAGTACACAGTGTCATGGCCAGAGACAGGATGGCATTTCAGAATGGCCTGTCCCCCCTCTCTTTTGATTAGGTGTCTTGGGGACTGGATGACTCCAGCATGCACTGAACCTGTGGAGGAAGGAGACAGAAGCTGAAGCCGTGGCCCAGGAAGGAGATTTATATTCCAGCAATGGCCACATCTTACATTTAGGGGATGTCCCAAGAGTGCTCAAGACTCACCTATCCCCAGGAGACAAAGGGTCACACAGCAGAGAAGCCTGGTGCCCCAGGCAGCATCAGGCAGGACAGAACCAGGCATCTCCTTACTCAGAACACTGTGCTCCTGGGGTGAGAGGCAGGAGTTTGCTCCCCTCTTTTCTATGTTTGGAGAATTTGACTGTGACATCACTGTCCTGATGTCACTGTCTCTGCAGGCTCCCAC